TTTGAAGCAAGATTTGGAAGTTTGGTGGCGCTAAGAGGAAGAGGAGGAGGAAAAGGAACAAGACCCAGATTTGGAAAGCAGCTCAGCAGATGCCCCTGATTTTAACAATATTTTTGAAATATTGATGAATACTGCCTTTGTTGATAACTAATTTCACTTTTTGTTTTAAGCATAATGATCAGTAATAACAGATACAGTGAAATCCTGATTATGTCAACTTGCTTAAAGCCAACTCTTACTTACAGTCAACACCTCACCGTGGTACGGTTTCTTACATTCATTGTTTAAATAATTGTGTTTCAGATACAGTCAACCGCTTGAGTGTTAACCTTGCGTAAAGTCAGTAATTTTAGGCTAGATCCCAAGATGAATTCAGTTAAGAGATATTTAGGGCCTGAGTTAGTGATGTACGCACCTCCAATTACTTTGTTCATTCATTATCTCTTGTTTTGGTGACAACTTCAGAATTATACTCCCTGAAATTGAGCAAACATCTTGTATCCATGCATTTTGTAATTTTGTAGCTGTTATCATCAATTTTCAAATCCAAGTACTACAGTGGATAAAGTCAACCTTTCTCAAAGTCAACATTTTTTTGGTCTCGAGGAGTTGTCTTTATCAAAATTCCACTGTAATTTGTGTTATTTGTAATTAAGGTGCTTTTGACATTGACACGAGTCTCATTTTTTCCCTTATTAGTAAGAGTGTATACAATATTTTGCTTGAATGATTTACTCTGTAATTTTATTGTGAATGTTGAACTGATATGTTAAGCGCAATGTTTTTGTATATGCATGTTTTTCATAAATATTATGTAAAGTACAAAGAACAATGATTGTAACACGGATTTGCACGATATAAATCATATGACATGTATTATTATATGCCAACAATGTAATATTATGCGAATGGGATTGGGGGGTGGGTGGGAGGGGGCGCAGCGTGGAGAGGCAAATGTAAGAAAAGATTATATTTGAACAGCCCCAAAGGCTGTAGGCAGGAAAAAGTGGAAAGGGAAGGGGGGGGGGCCTCAGTGAAAAGGAAATGGTTGGCTCTAAATAGTCTCGTTTTCTTAAGAATTTCGAATGAAATTGGGTACAATTTAAAGTCAGCGGTTATAAAACGTACCAAAATGTATTATCCTTTCAAATTGAAGTTCCAAAATGTCTGGACGATGTGCAATGTATTTCCCTGTCTTGTACATTTCCAACAATGAACAGAGCGAGCCAAGGTAAGACTTCTAAGATAACCATTGAAACGTTTTGTGGAAGAACAAAGAATGGTTTATCAACAAGAGTAGTTAAAAATAACATGGCGCGTACATTTCAAATAATCAATGGTTATAAATTGTCAGATTAAATTTGAACAGCCCCTTTCTATTTTGGATAATACGCATCGAGCTCACTGCGTCACGCTTATGACGTAATTAAACGCTTATTTGAATTTTACTCTCAATGTTCTTTGCTCATTTATTGATTCTACATAAAACAACGAACAAAATGATACCTCGGTGGTTACGATACAACTATTATTAAGCTTTTATGACGTTTTGAAGCAAGATTTGGAAGTTTGGTGGCGCTAAGTGCAGTACAGAAATTTGGCCAAATCATGGTGAAAATTGATTCTCAAAAATGGCCGCTGCTTCTGAATGAACAAAGGTAGCACATAAATGTTAAAATCTCTGAAACAGAAAGCCACGCTCTATCCTATACTCCTAATTTCAGTGCCCTTGGAGAAGTTTGAAAACTTCACGGAAGTGGCTAGTTAGCCTATGTTTGAAAACTCTTGCTTGTCTTCCTTTCCACCCACCCACCCACCCATTTTGCATCTTTCTCTCCTTGGGGCTTTCCTTTGAGCATCTTTAGCTCATTTGGTATCATGTCAGAATATGGTAAGGATCATAACGGTGTGTTCCTGAACGTCAGTTCTTTGAGGTGCTGGTGGAGTGAGAGATGAAGGAAGACACAGAGTAAGAGAAGCTGAGGGGGGAAGATGTGAAGGAAACGAAACTGGAGGAGAAGGGAGGATATGACCTATGAATTTTCCAAGTGCCGCAAAACAATTAACTGACTTATTACTTAGTCTTAGGTGACCGTTGGGGCACTAAGGATGATCGGGCAGCCACCTGTCTCCACTTTACTCTATTTTCAGCCTTTCGAAGGGCTTCCCAAAACTTTCAACCTGTCCATTCCGGGATGTGTTCCCATCTTTTTCTTGTCAAGAAGGGATCTTCCTATCTTTTTCGGTCTGCCTCTCCTTCTCCCTCTTTGTAAACTGCCCTGTAGTATTGATAGGGGCGTTAAACCTATACCATTGCTCCAGTTTTGTCACAATGCCGTAATAATGATAATAATAATAATAATAATAATGATGATAATAATGATAGTAATGATAATAATGATAATAATGATAATAATGATAATAATACTAATAATAATAATACTAATAATGATAATACTACTACTACTACTACTACTACTACTAATACCACTACTAATACCACTACTAACACTACTACTAATACTACTACTAATACTACTACTAATACTACTACTAACACTACTACTAACACTACTACTAACACTACTACTAACACTACTACTACTAACACTACTACTACTAACACTACTACTACTACTACTAATACCACTACTAATACCACTACTAATACCACTACTAATACCACTACTAATACTACTACTAAAACTACTACTAATACTACTACTAATACAACTACTAATACAACTACTAATACAACTACTAATACAACTACTAATACAACTACTAAAACAACTACTAAAACAACTACTAAAACAACTACTAAAACAACTACTAAAACAACTACTTCTACTACTACTACTAGTACTACAAATAATAATAATAAAAATAAAAATAATAATAGTAATAAATACCATTTGTACTGCGCATTTCCATTTTCTAAGAAAAAAAAGAAGCTCAATGCGCATTACACCCAAAAAGACATCACATCTAAAAAATTAATCGACATGCGTGTATGTAAAACAAAGTATTATGCATATAATATCTATGTATATGTGTAGAGATTTCTATGAGAAAGGCAGTCTCACTGTGAGGTTGGAAATGCGTTCATTAAAAATATACAATGCAGTAAAAATTCACGAACGGTCACAATAAAATTGAAACGTGAGTAGCTAGAATCATTCATTAAAACATTCGTTTTCTACAGATACAAAAACATTTCCGTTTTCTCTCTCTCTCTCCCTCATCCCCCCCTCGGGGAGGTGCAAGTTTCGGTCCTCTGCTAGGTGTGTAGCGTCTGTGATAGATATGTTATGTTGTTCCAGGACTTTTTTAACCCCATCCAGCCAGGTCTTTTTTGGTCTTCCTCTTGATTTAAAGCCGGATTCTCGGGTGCTGTAAGCTCCAGGCGCTAGTTGTTTCTAGGGCATTCTGGTTATGTCCAAACCATTTGACTCTGACGCTCTATGAATTTTATTACTGGTGGTATTCAAGTTTGTAGACGTATGGTTTCGTTTCTTATGCGGTCTCTTCTGGTGACGTTGATGGTTTTGCGGAGACACCTCATTTCGCATGCATTGATTTTTCTTTCTTGTGCCTTGTTTAGAGACCATGTCTGGCACTGGTATGTTAATGTTAGTATGAAGATGCTGTTGATGAGCTGGGATTTCACATCGGTTGGGACGTTCTTGTGACTGAGGAGAGGTGCTAGCTGGTAGGTCACTGCATTTGCCATCATAGTTCTTGTTTCTATTTCTTTGTCCACACGCCCATCTTGTGTGAAGATGCTTCCCAAATACTTAAATTCCTCTACTTGTTGGAGTTGTTCCATCAATAAGGATGTTGGGTTTCCCTGGGTTTCTGCTGACATTCATAACTTCTGTTTTTGAGATGGAGATTTTCATGATCAGGTGTTTACATTCCTCATTTAGTATTGTGGTGTGGGTTTTTTTAGTTCCTCTTCGTTTGTATTTAATATACTTTGGTCATCAGCAAAAAGAAGCTTGTAAATCTCAGTGATGTTGTCATTTGCTGCTTTCGTGATCTTATCCATGTAATTGATGAAGAGAAGCGGAGAGAGAACACCCCCTTGTCTCACCCCAGACCTGATGAGGAACCAGTCCGATAGTCCTTCTGTTCATCTTACGGCACACAGGCTGTTTTTTTTATAAAAGGCCATGATGTTCTCCAGCAATTCTCCTCTTACATCATATTCCTCTAAGACTTCCAAAAGTTGACATCTCTCTACCCTGTGGAACGCCTTTTCCTGATCCACGAAGACGATATTGAGGTCTTTGTCACGTGCAAAGGCAGTCTCCCACAACTGTCTTAATGTAAAAATAGCGTCAGTACAGCCCCTGCCTTTTCTAAAGCCAAACTGGGATTCACTGAGTTGAGTCTCTACAATTGGTCTCATTCTCATTTCCAGTATTTTGGCAAACATTTTGCTCGCATGGCTGAGAAGGGATATTCCTAATAGTATTGATAGGGGCGTTAAATCTATACCAAAGTGGCGTCGGTGGCCTAGTGGTTAGGCTACTGGACCCGTTATCGTGAAAATGCGGGCTCGGGGGTTCGAGCCTCAGCTCGGTTCGACGTAGTGTCCTAACACGGATTTCCCATTTGGCTCGGTCCTTTCGGAGATGGACGTTAAACGCAATCAATCATGCCATTTAAATAAGCTACTAGTATTGATTGGGCGTTAAACCTACACCATTTCAGCATTTTTGAAGAGAGCAATGAACGTGAGACAAGAGGAGGGGGATTGGTGTTGTAGAGAGCAGGGCGATAGTGTACTGATATTGTAATGACTTTTTGTTCATCAGGAACTGATGGCGGCCTTGTAAGAAAAGTTGTAAACCTTGCTAGCTACTGCTTTGTGTAGTTGTAAACCTTGCTAGCTACTGCTTTGTGTAGTTGTAAACCTTGCTAGCTACTGCTTTGTGTAGTTGTAAACCTTGCTAGCTACTGCTTTGTGTAGTTGTAAGCCTTGCTAGCTACTGCTTTGTGTAGTTGTAAGCCTTGCTAGCTACTGCTTTGTGTAGTTCTAAACCTTGCTAGCTACTGCTTTGTGTAGTTGTAAACCTTGCTAGTTACTGCTTTGTGTAGTTGTAAACCTTGCTAGTTACAGCTTTTGGGTCGATAGCGCCGTAAAACACCTACTCAATTTATCAAATCATAGCTACTGCTTTATATAGCTGTAAACCTTGCTAGCTACCGCTTTGTGTAGTTGTAAACCTTGCTAGCTACTGTTTTGTGTAGTTGTAAACCTTGCTAGCTACTGTTTTGTGTAGTTGTAAGCCTTACTAGTTACTGCTTTGTGT